AGCCGAGAGACATAGTCCCTCCAGCGTGTCCTGGGTCTTCCCCGGGGCCTCCTCCCGGTGGGACATGCCTGGAACACCTTCCTTGGTGGTACATAACCATATCAATTAGGACATAATAGGAGCAATTGACATATGTGACTTCATACACTATTTCACCAGTTTGGCTCACCTGAGCATAACCAAAACAAGCCAGAAAAACCTACAGTAAAGTGTTAGGTCTTATTGCAATATTGAACAGGCCCACTGGGCACATGCTCAGGGTGGCCCTAAGCCAGAACCTCTGTTTAAAGAGCCCATGGCCTGCTTTTCCTTGTTTTCTGACTTATCTACAATGTTACAACAATGAATTCTCATCTTAACCGTGACCTAAAGCTCAAAAAATGAGGTGTACGTATGTTCTAGTATTTCTATGCAGAAGAAACTCAGTTTATACACATCTCATAAACTCTCGCTCATGAGACTTTTTTTCTAACAAAGTAAAGTCTTATGTGACACTCCAGGCATTGTTCATGTGAGCTTGGCTGACATCCACCAGCGTCATTGTAAAAGCAGAATTTATCGAATGTATCTGGTTTTGTGGATATTTTTTCCCCTCCTCCTGCTGCACTGGGACCAGAGGATGTGCACAAAAATACAGGACCTGAGGTTACTGCATGTCCGAGAATGTTCATCTATAGGGACTTGTTGTTTTCCTTGGCCCAGACACAGTGACCACTGATTGGATTTACTGCCCTTAGAGTTACTTGAAAGGGATTATTTCCGCTACTCAGTGGGACTTAACGGTAAGTTTTAAAAAACACACATATCATGTCTGTTAATGCTTTGCTTCTGTAATGTTAAATCAAATCAAATCGAATCAAATCAAATTTTATTTGTATAGCGCCAAATCACAACAAAAGTCATCTCAGACACTTTACAAAGTAAGGTCTAGACCTTACTGTTATCAATATTATTACATAGGGAAAACCCAACAAATCCCCCCCCCTTGAGCAAGCACTTGGAGACAGTGGGGAGGAAGAACTCCCTTTAACGGAAGAAACCTTCGACAGACCCCAGCTCTTGGTGGGCGGCCTTCTGCCTCGACCGGTTGGGGTGAGTGGATAGAGGAGAGACGAAAGAAGAAAAGCAACAAACCACAACAATAAAACACTGATCAGGTCGATGTGGCTGGTGACTGCTTGTCAGAGACGTAGAGCGCCAGGGCCAGGGCATACAAATATTGTATACCGGCAAGTTGAGGACAGTCTTTTTTTTTTTTTTTCTAAACAGTGAAGATCCATGTGCACATGCTTATTTTGATACGTTAATGCATAATAAATTTCACACTGTGAAATATCTTTATTTTAGTCTTTTCTTTTCAATATAAAAGAACACGCCTCACAGGCCCCATCCTCAGGGTTGGGGAAGCTCTTGCTTGTTTTCTATGGGTTGCTGGGTTGCTCAGCGACCATGCTCTTCTTCAGTCTCTTCCTGGAGAGAGTCATGACTTTACTGAACCTCTTGTTATTCTGTTGGCATAAAAGGAGAGGCATCCACAGGAGACTGGAGGGCAGAGCCAGTGAAGACACAGGAAGGGAAGAATGGAAACCATCTGTGTACCAAGTCACACTCATCCTTTTTGAGCTGTCGAATGTTGTACCTCTGTCCAGGGCGGAGCAGCCCAAGAAGATAAAATGCATTGTAAAACATGATTCGGGACTCAGAAGTTGGTTTTCCTGCGGGAGCTCTAGCTCTCTGAATCCAGCGCTGTAAGACTTGCTTGTAATCAGACTTTCAGTAGACTTTCTGTTGATTTTAAACAGCCCTCTTGTTGCGTTAACCAGTTCTTGCTACCATGCTAACTCTGAGAGACGAGGCAGTCCAAGTAACTTCAAAACTGCTGATTTATTCAAAGGATCACAGGCAAAATTAACATTACACGCTCAGGTATCTTGCACGTCCAAACTGCACGCAGGCAGATGAAAGATGAAAGACCCTGAACCCACCAGGCCTATACATTATATCCCCTCGGTTGGGCTAGCCCCATACTACACAGAAACGTCAACCGAGACGTCTCTTTTGCCAGCTTTGCAGCTGGCCATAGCAGTAGTCAAAACATGAAGCAAATCAATGTGTGTGTGTGTGTGTGTGTGTCGGTGTGTAGCTAAAAACATTCTCACACGACTTCTAGAACATGTCGTGACTTAATTATGGCTAAGGCTACAGTTCTACACGTCATAATAATAATAATATTAAACACCCTGTCTGCTGACAGTCATCAACTCTTCTCTCTAGTTATCCTTGACCAGATGTACCCTGTAGAAACTCATAAGCATGACTAAGCATTTAACAGTCTAACTAGACATCCTATCTCCACTAAACATTTCTAATACATAAAGTATC